TCGAGAGAGTGCAAAATCTTTGGGAAAGCATGCAGAACAGTGCAAGATAAGTCGCTCGCCTCGTCTTGAGAAAATGGAAGACATGCTCATTGTTTGGCTGCAAGATTTGATGCACAAAAAAATTCCGATCGGTGGAGATGTCATACGCGAGCAAGCCAAGTATTTTTACAATTATATTCAAAAAAATAGCGCAGCTTCTTGTACTAAAACATACCTGAACTTACGGCCAAAATTATTGGAAAAATTTTAGCTGATGTAGAACAATTCATTGAACGAGCCATAAATCATGATCCAATAATGACTCGAGCCTTCAATTCAAGCAAGATATAACAAAATCATTGCAGTGTTATGAAAGTTTATGCGAAGATTTGATGCGCAGAGCGAAGCAAAAAAGTTTGACTGAGTATTTTACTCGAAAATAAATAAATACTTCGATTTTTCATAAAAAAAAAGGTGTTTTACTCTTTCGTACATTGACATTTCAGCTGGACGAGGAACCGAACCCCCCTTTCCCCATAAGAACAATGCTTCGGTATCCGCGGTTTCGGTATACGCGGTACTTTTTTGGAACCGAACCCCCGCGGATAACGGGGTTTGACTGTATTTCATATTGCAGGACATAACACTTATGACTGCGCATTGACCAAGTGGGCATGTATTTTTCATAAAAATGAACAATTTCTTTCTTTCTCTGCTCGTCGAGATCCCAACAAATTTCAAATTTGACGTTGAAAATATCAACGTTTCTCCTATTTGACATAATCTTTGCCATCAGGTCAGTTTTGCACTTGCGCCAAGAGTACTTTCATTGCAGAACTCATATTTACGTCTGCTCGAAGCGAGCCGCCGAACTGAGAAATCACTAGGGAACGAGAGAAAACGCACCGAGAAAGAACTAGATTTAGTGAGAGAATATATCGATGCCCAGCACTCGGTGTAGCGCGGCAACATTTATTCTTCAAATCGCTAGACGCCATACTCATAGTCGCCGCTCTTCCAGTCACCCCTCCCGACTATGATCGATGCAGCTCCGACAGTGATCGATGCAGCTCCGAAATTACTTCGATGCGCTCAATGGGGTGGACGCATTCATTATACAATGGTGTGAGTTTCCTGTGGTCTTCTCTCTTGGTATGTTTATGACGAACAAGTGCTTCGACTTTATAAACAAACAACAAAAATAATGCAAGATTCTTTAACTCTATATTTGTGGTCAGAGTAGTCAGACTCTACACGGAAAAACTTTTGACCATGTTTTACGCTCGAATGCTGAAAATGAATCACACTCGAGTTCGGCTGAGTTTGTTTCAGTGTTGCGGTGAATACGATTTACGCTCAGTCTTGAGCCACTCAGTCACAATTATTGAATAGATTTAACAAAAATGAATAAATATTGAATATAAGAAATTTATATGGGGTGGTGACTCTCGCAACATCCGTCCACAATGTAATACTTGGTCAATTTGACAATGAATCAAGTATTATAGTCAAGTGAATTACTATGTAATGACTGTCATTTTGGTTTTACAAACTGTTTTTTAAAATAAATCAATGCAATTATAAAACACAGTATATTAAGCCCCCTTCAGCAGGCTGTAGCGAAAATGAAAAAAAATTTAGATGGAAGTGAAATTTTAACCAATGATAGTTTATTAAATGAAAAGATTATAGATATTATAGGAAATCTTATTCGCTTTTGAATGATATAATTATAAATGGGTGTTTTCAACCATTTTCAAAAGATATTAAGAATCCAACATATTTCCCCTATGTTCTGTCATGCTAACTCTGTGTGCTGCGTTACGCATATAGATCCACATTAATCTTTCAAATTCATGATTCAGGATTAATTCGCTCGCATCGGCAGAAGCCGAGAGCATTTCGTGCTCGGGTCTGAGCATGAACTGTGATCGACTTCGAGCGCGAATATCTTTCCAGATTGAGTTAAGGGTAACATCCTGCTCAGCGTCGGTCATAATACGCACTCGACAGAACTCGAGGGCGTTTCGCGCTCGGGACTGAGCATGAATTGTGCTCGACTCAGAGCGTGAATGTATCTCTATGTATTCGAGCCTGAAACATGGTCAAAAGTTTTTCCGTGTACTTGCGCGACCTGAAATGAGGCAAGGGCTTGCGTAAAGTTATGACACAAGATGTTGTTTAATACAACAAAACAAATTTATTGCAATTGGAAATATAGGGAATAGGAAATATAGTTATATATACAGATTACTTACAAAATATATATAAAATCGATATGTACAACCACAACGATTCACACGGCTCGACTAGCCAAGCTCGAGTGCTATACGCGCGAGCGCGGAAGTTACCATATAACTTATCTACCCAGTTGAAAAAAAATTGCATGGATATCCACGTGGAAATCCACAAGGATTAGTAATCCTCGTGGACCATACAGGGATTCCATGTGGATCGTACAGGGATTCTACGTGGATCATACAGGGATTCCTCGTGGATCGATCATGGGCTGAAAAAAATGCAATCACCACGGATATTCTACTGATCCACGTTGATTTTTTTTCAATCCTCGTGGATGTGGAACTTGTTCGCGGGCACGCGCTCGAAACATCCGCGAGGATTTGCGGCGAATCACCACAGATTTTTGACTGATCCACGCTGATTTTTTTTCAATCCTCGTGGATGTGGAACTTGTTCGCGGGCACGCGCTCGAAAATCAACAAGGATTTCCGTGCAAATCCCCGTGGTTTACGTACGTGGACTCTTTAAATGATCCATGTTCGATCCACGTGGAATCAATGTCCCATCCTCAAGGAATCCCTGTATGATCCACGTGGAATCAGCGTGGATAATCCACGGGGATATCCAAGCAATTTTTTTCAACTGGGTATGCAATGCTTGTATGTGTCGACTTAAATTATTTTTATTTCCAAATCTTTTCTTGCAAGTGTCGCAAACAAACTTTTTCTCTCCATTATGCTTAATTTTTCGATGAGCAGTTAGGTTGGATTTCAATGAGAATTGCCAACCGCAATGTTCACACAGAAAAGGTTTTTTTTTCGGTGCACAGCATCAACGTGCCTTTTCAAACAACTGAAGTCTCTAAATTGATCCTTACACTCGGGACATATTGCTTTCTTGACTCCCTTATGAATTGTGGCACGATGCCTAACAAGACTAGATTTAGTAGAAAGTGTTTTTCTACAATCACTGCAAAAGTACTTCACACTATTCTGACTCATAGTTTCTTCTCCATTTTCTGTCGTTTTTTCCGACTCACAGTGCTTTTCAAATTTTCTGCCGCTTTCGTGAGGAACCAACAAGTGGGACGTTGACTCTTGCAAATCTCTTGCGATCGCCTCAATTGCGTCTTGTTCCTCTTTTTCTAAAAATGATGCAGCTCCGACTATGCTCGATGCAGCTCCGACATTGCTCGATGTAGCTCCAACTATGCTCGATGCAGCTCCGACATTGCTCGATGCAGCTCCGACTATGCTCGATGCAGCTCCGACTATGCTCGATGCAGCTCCGACATTGCTCGATGTAGCTCCAACTATGCTCGATGCAGCTCCGACTATGCTCGATGCAGCTCCGACTATGCTCGATGCAGCTCCGACATTGCTCGATGTAGCTCCAACTATGCTCGATGCAGCTCCGACATTGCTCGATGTAGCTCCGACTATGCTCGATGCAGCTCCGACTATGCTCGATGCAGCTCCGACATTACTCGATGCTTGGTGTTGAGCCTCTATATCCTTCCTCAACCTCTGCAAATTGGACTGCGACGAAACAAACTCACAAGCTTCGGCCAGCATAGTTGCTAATTCATCTAATTCGAGGTTCGCGGGCATGTTTATTTTTAAAGTAAAATAATTGTATTTTCTACAATTCGATTTCGCGCACTGTTATGGAATTTCATCTCTGAGAAAGTTGGTGGAGATTGATATTCAATATATGTACGATAGCACGTGCGAACTCTTTGAATCACTAATTAAGTATAAGTGGAGCGACTCGTCTGGTCTGGCGTACTCGATGCAACTCCGACTATGCTCGATGCAGCTCCCGACTTTGCTCGAATCTCAAAATTTTCCGAATTGTAAGATTTTTTCCTTTAAATTTAACACTTATTTTGATTTATGCGACCAAAAAATAGAAATTTTTGATAAACATAATAAAAGTCCTCAAAATAAGAAAAATGTAGGCATCGAAATGATAAACAAGTAAGTTAAGACCAACCATTAATCACATCATTATAATAGTCTATTTTACACCAAGTTATTCGGTGGCTCTGTGAAAACCTTTTAAGGAGGTATGGGAATCGCGGAAAACATATATTTTTGTTGTTTCAGCTCACTTGTTGGTTAGGGCACTAATGACCCACGATTTTTTAAACATAACAATTTATTTCTCGACAACTAAACGGTTGATGAAGTTTTGAAGAACAACGTTCTCCACGGTTTTTGAAGTCGAAAACTCATGTTTTCTCACAAGAAACCATGTTAAAACGTCTAAAATAATTTTTCATTTTTTAAACAAAATATTACTGTGGAAAGTTGTATTTTGAATTAACGCTCATAATATAAAGTTTCAAAGCAAATAATTTTTCTTTAAACTTGGCTGCATTTTGAATGAGATTAAATCCAAAAATGTACGAAGTATTATTACAGATGATCGAAAACAGGATGGACAATCAGGTCAAAATGACAAATTGAACGACCAAAATGATTCAATGTGTACTTTTTAAATGAAGTTATGAACTTTCTCTAAAAGTTTATTATTTATAGAATTGAAGAAAATTTAATTGCGTCAAAATTTCATTTTTATTATTATAATACCTTAGATAAAATTTTCATAATGAATTATGACAAGTCTATTTTTAAAAATTTGAATCTCGCGCGTTCAGTACGTGAGACTAGGACTACCGACTAAGGCGCGCGTTTCGTGATATTGGAGCTATCCGCCTCGAGCCGCTACGATCTCTAACAGCGGCTCGAGGAGGATAAAATACGGAAAATAATTAGTACCATTCACAGAAGTAGTTGCGACGTCCTTCTTTACTGATCTCTCGTGACAAATTTTACGCATCCCGACTATTGGAATATCTTGTTTCCTACAGCTAAAACCAAAAAATAAGAGTAAGTTTAAAATAAATATTTATAATTTATCCTTTGTTTTCATGAGGTTTTCGTGTAAAGAATTTATAAAGAAGATGAAAAATTCCGTTTTAATTACGGGTTTAAGTTGGTAAAAGTAGGAAAGGCCAAGTGCATGTGTTTGAATGAAAACATTCTTTGGGGCGAAGAGCATTAGTATAAGTACTATTTTGAAACTCAGTTTTATTTTTCTGAATTTTTCTGTGATTGTTCATTTTAGTCAATTATAAAATAAAATTGTAACATACAAAATTGTTCTTTTGGAAAACTGCTGAACACAAAACTAAATTAAAATGAAAATCAAAAATAACTAATATCAAGCTTTCTTTATAAAATTTCTACTCATTTTAAATCTTTTGAAAACTTATCTGAATGCATTTTTTGTCTTTTTTTTTTATTTATAAAGTTTAAATCTTCCTAAAAAAGTATTGAAATTTGAATTAGAGGTTGTGTTTAGTTAAGCCACGTGGTTATCATTCCGCACTGTCTACTCAAATGCAACTACCAAACTTTGAATGTGCATTTCAATTAAAGAGTATACTACACGGCAGCGCGTCCATCATTCGTATCGTATACTCCCCAATAATACGCAAGCAAATCGCCAATTTTATAAAACTTTTATGAATTTATTGTGCACTAATTATAATAAACTTTACGAGATCCTGAAATTTCTTACGTAAATCATTTGACTAATATCGTTTTTAATTCTATTACAGATGTCAACCATAAAATTAAAAAGTTCTGACGGAGTCATCTTTGAAGTAGATTTACAAATCGCTAAACGCTCCAAAATGATCGAACAAATGATTGCAGTTTTAGGCACAGATGATTTAGACGAAAATGATTATTTCCCTTTACCCAATGTCACATCGCCTATTTTAGAATTGTTTATTGAATGGTGTACTCATCATAAAAATGATTCTTTAGTAGAAAGAGATGATACGGAAACAGTGTCGGAATGGGACGAAAATTTTTTCAAGGTATAAAGTTTCAATATTTGCATTGTTTAAATACACAATTTATTTTTGTTGACATGAAAGAGTTTGAAGACTGACATTTAAGAACTTGATTTTATAGAAAATAGCTACTGAAAATATGAGTTTAAAATTAAAATTTTTTATCGTACAATAATAATAAATGTTCCTTTGAGATCTTCCAACATTCAAATTTTTTTTTTTATTGTTATAGGTTAATACAGATAATTTGAAGGAGCTTATTTTGGCTGCAAACTACTTAGATGTTACAGAATTGTTGAGTGCTGCATGTGTGCAGGTAGCTAAAAAATTTGCAGGAAAAACTCCAGAACAAATTAAGATATATTGGAATAATCTAACAAGTTAGTTTTAGAAATTTTACATCGGCTCTCTACAAAGAATGATTAATAATTGTACATAATAACAAATCGATAATAGTTTTACAATAAGAATGTACTTAATATAATAAAATACTCATATCTGCAAAATTTCATGTGGTTATTTTTCAAAAGGAACAATTTTCAGTCATGAGCTAATGAATAAATGCTTTACAGATCTTGTCCCTATTTATACAACAAATCTTTGATTTAATTCTTTTAACTGTGTATATAAATATTATTGTTTCACCAGTTACAAAGCTTACTTAAGCACAAGTTGATTAATTCATATTGTTGAATTATAATTATGAGAAAGCATATGCAGTAAACTTTACTTCATTTATGGAACAAATTTATAGATTTACTTCAAAATTAAGTAACAAGCCTATGATGATCATTTTCTACAAAAAACAACAAAAATATTCCATGAGAATAATTTTCATGTATGGAGATACCCCTGGGGTCTAGACTACACCCAAATATTACAAAAGTTTTCTATACTGGGATAGTTAGTTTTTTTACTAAAGTTGCTCACTGTAGTAAATGCACAATTATCAGATAAGGATTTTTAAGTAAGCAAAGAAGAAAGTAAGTAATCTTCTTTGATATTAGCGATGTATAATCAATAGCTTTTGAATAATGAAGTTATCGAATTGGGATTTTCATTTTTTCATGTACTCTTTATGAGTAAATACTTTATTTCAATTTCTATTCTTGGCATATCACCCCAACTATGTTTAGCCCATGTATTTTTATTTTGTCACCAAAGACATGGCTGGCAAAAAAAAATTTTATATAATTGTATTCGTAGTTGAATTATAATAATTATATAGGTAAAAAGGTATAGGTTTAACTTGAATAAAAAAATATCAAATCAGGTAATAAGTTTCTATGATAATTTTTTTATGAAATACTGATGAACTTCTATATAGAACAGATTTAAAGGTTGAAATACAAGAAATTGGTAAAAAATATCAATAGATCATAAATTTCTCATAGAGTTCAGGCATACAAATGAACAATACTTTTAGTATAATTTTTTAAAATTTATGAGCATGAACCAGAGAAGAAATTTATATACATGAAACTGATTGAAATATGAAACACTTTTTATATGACCGTTTATTTCTCTTTGCATGGCAGAATATAGTGTATATAAACTAGCAATACTACATGAATATTTATTTAATAAAAATATAAAACATAAATATTAGTCTATGTGTACTTAATAAACGATAATATTTTTTTAAGAGAAATTTCAACATTTCTAAAAGTTGATATTCTCAAAAGATGTTAGACAAAAATACTACAGTTAAGAATTACATCATGATTTCATAAATTATAAGGTAAAAAAGCGAATTACAAAACTTGAATTCATCAGCATAACTGTACCCAAATTTGATTCGAAAACATAAGTTAAGATTAATTTTCTGATGATTTTATTATCGATTGCATTAAATTTGCCAATAAAGTTGGATCTGCTAACAACTTTAGTTGTTCAGAATCAATAAGTGATCGCTTATGGGCAGTAGCAAACTCTATTACCTTATCTTCCAAATTCTTTACTTGGTGTTTATGGGCAGCTATTAGAATTTTAATGGCATTTTCAATAGATAAACAAGAATATAATATTTTTCCACACTTGGTTTTCAAATTATCAATCTGATACTTATCAGCCACTGCTAAAAGTTCAATAATCATATCTGTTTCGATTGCATCGATCTCTCGAGTATAGATGTATCGCAACATTTCAGTTAGAATATTCTCAGTAACGTCTGTTATCTTCACGGAATTTTCTTTATTTTCCAACATATCATGTGCAAACATGGCTCTAAAAACTGGGCTGGCTGTTGCGAGTATGATTTTGTGTGCTGGTAATTCTTTTTCATCAGAAGTTGTCAATTTGACATCACTGAGCTCTTCACTAAGAAATGAAAAATGGAATTTCATTTTATCGATAATCTCATTTTCATCGTTAATGATATCTGAATCCAATGACGAATCCAATTCATTAAAAATTTCTAATTCACATTGAACAGTTACAGTATTCTCAGAAGATATTAATTTGTCAATATCTTCAAGTTTGAAAAATTTTTCATTACCCCAGTCTGAAGTACTCGAATGAACATGAAGAGAAGTTAATTTTTTAACAACTTTTTTATTATTTACAGCTGATAATGTGATTCTATATATGTGTTTATCCAGTTCATTTCTTAAAGTAATTGTACATGGGACAATAAATAGAGAAATGTATCCCATAGATTCTTCATTTTTTCTACCTTGAGGATACAATTGTAACATAAAATATTTTTTATCATCACTTCCAACACCAAACTGGGGGGATTCTATAGATTCTCCAACTTTCGATTTCATTAAGTTATAATTCTTGATTGTCCAAGTAAAAATGCACTCATTTAAAGTAACTGTAGTTGAAGCCTCTATTCGTTGTTGTAATGACATATTGACTCAAATAGCTAATAACTTTTAGAAACTTATGATGTGATTATTTGATCGAATGAAACTCTTAAAAATGCTTAATAAAATTAATAAAAAACACTATGAGGTGTATATGACGATTCGTTTATTTTTACTGTTAACGAGCCATCCTTTGTTTTGAGTTGCAAGTTTAATTAGCAAAACACGCATAGGTGGCGTGTGGAGCCAGTCGCACTCGCAAACATGTAATAGGCTGGTATGTATCAAACAAAGGCCAATAAAACGAATTCAAAACAAAAAAAAGCAAACATGTAATTTTATGCACACGTGGTTAAAAACACGTAGTACACCTACCAACAGGCAATATAAATATCAATATTCATATTAGCAATTTATTCAAATGATTCAAAATTTTTTTTCCAATGCAACAGTACATATGTCTCATGTATTTGACTTTTCAAATAAAATAAAATAATCTTACAGCAACGTAGCTCATGGTGATTTTGTAATTCAAGGCCTGAGATTAACTTTTTTTTATTATAACATTTGGTTTGGACATGTTTGTTAATGCAATAAGTGCTTAAATCTGATTCTAAAATTAATGGAGACAATCTTTTCTCTACTTAAATTTAGAAGGTTTGAATAATGTTTTACGATAGGCCTATAAACAATTTTGAAATATTTTGTCCCTTTAAGAGTAGATAATTTTAACAGTTTTTGTTTTTTTCTTTTTTTATTATTCATGAAATTAAAATAAAATAATAGATTGAAGTATGTGTTTATGCACTTTATTCACATTTCTAGTCTACAGATTGCTTTGAAAATAATGTTATAAACTTAAAGTACTAGATTTACAAAAAGTACTTTATCAAATGCTATTTTTGTATTGAATTATAAATAATGGATAACCAGTGATAATCAACTTGAATAATCATACCTGAGAATAAGCCTAATATAATACCTGTAATAAGTTTACAGCTTTGGTCTGATTTTTAGTTTAATTTAGTTATAAAATCATAAACAATTGTAGACTTATTTTGAAGATTTTCTCTTAATTATTCAGATTGGAAAATTTATATTGTGATATAATACCAAAGTTATACAACAAAATACTAGAACTAAAGTAAGAATTGTTTTATGGTTTATGATTTCATGGAAAACAACTAAGAAAATAAAGTTATAATGCATTTAATTTAATAATAAGGCTTTACTAAAAATTATACATAGGCATAAAAGAGTTAAAGTTAATCTTGTTGCGATTTGATAAGTGATTGGATTAAATTCACTAATATATCAGGATCATCTATTTCCGTAATTTTTTCAGAATTTGAAATTAGTTCTGTGTGATTTGTGATGAACTTTATTACTTTAGTTTCTAAACGCTTTAAATGGTGTTTATGAGCAGCTATTAAAGTTTTTATGACATTTTCAGTGGACAAATCTGCACTCAATATTTTTTCACACTTGGTTTTCAAACCGTCAATTTTATATTTGTCAGCCACTGGTAAAATTTGCAAAATTACATCTGTTTTGGTACTTACAATATCACCAGTGTAAATATATTTCAACACATCAACTAGAATATTGTAAGGAATATCAGTTATCACAATAGAATCAAAATTTTTTTTTGCTTTTTTATTTGTAAAAATGGCTCTAAATACAGGACTGGCTGTTGCAAGTATAATTTTATGTGCCGGAATTTCATATTCATCACTTTTCAATTTAACATCACTGAGTTCTTCACTAAGAAATGAAAAATCAAATTTCATTCTATCGACTGTTTCATTTTTACTGTAGATGAGTTCTGAATTCAATGAAGATTCACACCCAGTGAACATTTCTAATTCACATTGAATAGTTACAGTATTCTCAGAGGATATTAATTGGTCAACATTTTCCACTTTATAAAATTCTGGCCAACCGTAGCCTTGAAAGTCTGGAGTAAAATCGTAATGACATGTGTCTCTAAAAACAACTTTTTTATCATTAATAACTGATATTGTCCACCTGCATACGAGCTTATCTGGTTCGTCTTCTGAAATATTTATAGGATTGAGATATAACGACATGTATCCTGCATATTCCGTAGCATTTCCTTCAGGGAATAACTCCAACTGAAAGTATTGTACATTATCACTTCCAACGCCAAATTTCGGGGATTCTATTGATTTTCCAACTTCTAACTTCATTGAACGGTATTTCTTGATCGTCCACGTATAAATGCACTCATCCGAAGAAACTGTCGTAGAAGCCGTTATTCGTTGTTTTGATGTCATTTCGACTCAAGGACGTGACAGTTCTTAGAAATGTATTACTTGATTGAGTAATTTTGAGCGGTACCTGATAAAATTGAACAAAAAACATAAAAAAGACACTATCGTTCGAACAGGTTCTCCCAGCAACAATGATTGCAGCGCGCGGTACAAATGTTGTTTTCGCTCGTGAGTCGTGACTTTGAGAAGCGATCAATGATCAGTAGTAGTATAGTAGTTTATTGGCCTCATCGTTAGATACATAGCCAGATGGCGTTGGTTACAAAAAATTTTTGTAAATAATACTTAAAATCTAAAGTACAGAAAATAATATACATAATATGTAGTAGAGTACAAAGTAAGATAGACTTAACATAGCTGGTAAATATATACATATGCCATATACATTAAGATGTATATTATTTTATAGATTTATTTTATTTTGAACAGTTCAAACGGCGAAAGTAGCGAAATTTGTCGGTGTTTTCATGAAACATAAAGTCATATTTAAAATGTGAGAAAGATACCCAGTATCCGTTGCGGTTCAATCAACTGTTGCAAAATACCCATATTATTGTGGTATCAGATTGAACGACTTTACCTCAAATAAAACTGATCTTTAAATTTCAGAAACTTACTAACAAGAAAATTTTATCGAGCCAAAGGTTTATATATTAGTATTCCTTATAACAATTTCGCGGGATCCTATAGGGAATTTTTATAAGGGATGACAAAGTGGCAGTGCAATATTATCTGTACGAATTTAGCCTATATCGACAAGGCAGGTTTCTAAATGACATTCTAAATGACATTACTTTTGACATTGAAAAAGAGTTGAACGAAATATAAATATTTTAACAATCGCAATACAAATTTATAATAAATTCAACCAAGCAACTTAATTTCAGAATGCTTTCGATGACGTAATTTTTTTATCATGATCGATACAATGAAAAACTAAATTTACGCCGTCATTACCTTACTTTAATTTCGATTCAAATCGACAAATCTGCCGATCGACGTAATTTTGAAATCGAACCCTTTCGATCGGCTGCAGCACTCTATCGATCATCAAAAATCAAAACTTATAGGAACACATAGGTTTTCTGAACCGACGAGGCACTCGGTGCTCGATACATAGGGGCTGTCTTCCAAGATGTGCTCGAGTCGTTGGCGCGTGCACGCATCTTCGACAAGATATACCCGAGTGCGATCTTGGCACGCGCCTCGAGTGTACAATCGAGTTTCCGCGACGGAATCGTTGGATCGAGCGATATCCTGTCCCGTTGATTTTCGATGATTGGGTCGCAGGACCAGCAGCAGCAGCAGCGAGTATACGATACATGCTACGCTGCTGGAGGATGTGCAATGTATACAGTAGAGAAGGGATCGTGTGTACCATTTCGGAAACGAAGACGAAGGTACGGTAAGTTCTTCTCTTTTTTTTTGTCACGCAGCTATGATTACAAGTGTGCAACCAGGTGAGTTTTAAGAGAACGGCAGAGTATTTTACGAAATACATACGTGAAATATTATGTAGCTATAAAGCTCGACGCGTGACCCGAAGTGCTCCTTTCCTCGAGATGCTTTTTTTTTGTTACTTTATAATATATCACAGGCTTATGACATTGTACGCGAAAATGTTTTATATTAAATGCATTTGCATTTGTAGGTGTGCGACACATGTCTCATCTACAGATGTGTATACATACGTAATATCGTACGTTTTTATGGCGCATATAGGTACACTCGAACTGTCTGGACTGCCCGTTCGGATGCACGCGCGTACCAGACATTTGAAACTCTGCCAATATACATATACGTTTGTGCTATTGCGACCTTAAATTGCCTCGATATCATTTCGATGGAATGTGACGTTTCTTTTTTATCATGCGACTTTTTATTCGAAATATATACTTCACGAGCAGCGTCGTGCGCAGCGAAAAATTCAATATTTTCTGCACTATAAAATTGTATATCGACTGCATTGAAGATCAATCGCGAATATAGTTGCAAAGTGTATACGGGCCGAGCATGAAATATTTTTTTTTATGTATTTAAAAAAATATGTGCATTGTAAATATTTTACGATATTCTTTTTTTTTCTACTGTAGAATGCTACTATTCACATAATACTTATACAGAATTTACCTAAGTCACAGCCAGATTTAAGTCGGATTCCGAGAAGTAATGCGTTCGTCTCAATGCAAGAGGCATTCATCGCGTAAATCGAATACAAATTCTATTCCTCAAAGACTTCGCACCGACTATACTAAAATTTTTCACGGCTCTCAAATCTATCTGTTTCCCTCCCTCCCTCTCTCTCTCTCTCTCTCTCTCTCTCGTTAAAAGAGAGAATTTTGCTTACGAGACCGCAAGAGCAGTTATATAATTACGGAGTATTTAGTACAGCATTTATGTTATTAAAAAAATTTCAGAATGTGGATTTTCGTTGTATTTACTTTTATATACGCGTACACCAATTTGATTCTAGAAAAATAATTCCGACTAATCACGATTCCGTCGAAAACGTCCCTGCAGTGTGTGTAATATGTGTGACACAGAAAAGCCCCATGGGAGAAAAATCTATTGATTTTTGTAATCGACACAGTTGATTTGATCTGCTGGGAAGGGGGACGACAGCTCATGTAGGCGCGTAGACCCAATAAATTATCATTATTTATGATAATACGCGTAATGCAGAATATCGCTGAGACTCACGTACACGAGGACTGGAATTCACAAATTTTTCAATTCCCAAGGGCCAGTCAATATTTATCAGTAAAAAAGCGCGAACGTCTGTGCTCTTACACACGGTGGAAATATAAGTATGGAGAAAAGCCAGAATTTTTTTTTGCCGGGGTCGAACAATGGGATAACAATAAAAACAGAGCTCGACGTATGTAGACAGCACCCCCTCGACGTCTGAATTTTAAGGTCCTCTCCAGTCCAAGTGCGCGACGCGCGTGTACGTCTGGAAAGGCACGTTTATATGCAATCAGCATGTATGTGGGGAAGGGGATGCGTGGAAGTTCGTCATATACACAGTCGACAGACTGCAGAATTCAGCCAATGGACCAGGAACGAATCGTCGTGACTATATTTGCAGACAAAAATATGAATGAGATGGATCGGCTCTGCACCGGCTTGGAAAAGAATCAAAAATCTGCATATTTCAAAGGCTCAAATCTATGGGATATTTTTCAGTCCTTTTTTTCCATCATTACTTATTTTTTCGATTCGCTTGCTCGTCCTCGTTCCTCGCGCGACGAATCAAATTTGAATAATCAAAAGTTACCGATTATCCGGCACGCGCGCTCCCTCTCACCTTACGCACAATCGTCGACGCACAAAGATGCAACCCTCATAATGGATATGAAATTTCTCAAAGAGAGCTCCTTACGTACTCCACTATAGTGCGCGCGGGGGTAAACGATCTCGCGCGTGAGCGTGAATGCGTCTCTATATAAAATTGCGGTAAATACGATTGGCTGCCAGCACGGGTCGGGGGATGCGTCGTCTATCTCTCTTTCTCTCTTTTCTCCACACACACGTCGATCTCTTGAACTTTTTCCTGCGCGACACATCAGACGAAGCCGCACACGGCTCGATACGTATAGAGGCGCGTGCTGCTGCTGCTATACATCGGTCCATGCTGTATACAGTGTGATATATATTTTTCTGACGGCTTATACTACCATTCTTCGAGCGCGCACCACCGTTTCGTTTCCCCCGTTATTACGTAGGTATATGGTAGGCATATGTATGAGTGCGTATGTGTGTGTGTAGTGGAGCTACGCACTGCTTCACGGAGAGCTGTTTTCTTTCTCGCTTTTGGCCCCGCGCGTCAGTTTATGACACGGGGCTTGCCAGACTGCACGCACACACATAGGTATATAATAAGAGTGCGAGATGTCTGAATCGTTGTTTGCCGGCTACTTTAGTATATTTTTTTTCTCGATCGCGGTGATTCGAAGGCTCATATAGTTATAAACAAAATTTGTTGAGGGAGTTTTCGAATTCGGAGCAGTATTTTGATTTCGTTTTTCATTTACGAGTTTCAAGTGCTCCGTTTTTAGATAAAACTAAATTCAATTATTGTTGATTGCAAGTGATTGGTTCAGTGATTTATTTTAATGGTTTATCGGTGTGACATGTTTGAAAGTGTAATATTGTGTAAATAGATAAATAAAAAAGTGAAATTGTTTCATCGCTGACAAAATTCGCGATTTGGGATATTATTGGATGCGAAAAAAAGTGCAGCGTAGAAAACGTGAAACTTTTTATAGCATCAAAGTGCACGCAGTCGCTTTTAATAGCTGCAATCCCTCTCTCTCTCTCTCTCTCTCTCTTTTCGAGTGCGATCATCTCGCGGCGTCATACGCACGAACGAGCTTTTGAAGCATAATAAACGATTTTTCATTCAAACAAATAAGCTTTTCGATCGAGCGTGTAAAAAGTGCACGATGTAAAAAGACGAGGACAGCCTTGGAATCACTCGAAAAAGTCGACGATAATTATCGTATCGACGAAAGTTTGGCCGAGAATCGGTATTACATCGTTTGTTTTTGCCTCATCATCCTCGTTGCCTCTGCCGAGGAAGACAGCCTCCATCGTATTATTATAATCGAAGTCTGCCCGCGACGCATACGGGGCACGCGTCCGAGCTCTCCCACCACCACCACAGATCGACGATTGTCAAGAAAGTGAGTAGCAAACCACTATGATACCTAATAGTAAAATATGTATAGATGAAGATCTGTTTGGCGCACCTGCGGCTACTTACGCGAGGCTCATACGGAGCAGCAGCTGCAATTATAAACTTGGGATCGACTTGCGCGTGTTCGACACATGTCGCGCACTCGAAACGAGAAAAATCACTCGAATTTTATTTTTTTTTCGTTATTTTTTTTGACGTTTTCTCCCATTTCGATGGAGTGTACGCTTAGCTATCAAAAATGCTGTAATTTTTAAAAATAGTATTTATTAAGTCAATGTTTTTTCTGACGAAAAGTACTTGCGTTTTGTGAATATTTGCCAGAACGCGGAAAGAAGTCAAAGTGGCGTTTCAAACTTCACTGTCGGCTTGACTTGTATTAATAAACTACTACTCTGGGCTAAACAAGTTGTAAAATTGATAAAAATATCGCAATAATTGGCAAAAGCTAACAGTTTTTATCGAGGATTTTAGATTTTTAGTTTGCATGCTTTTTTACTCTTGTAGCAATACGTACATCATAAAGTTAATAAGTATGAATGATCGCATGATCGTCAAATGATTTATTCGCTTAGTATATATACTGCTTTTCTGAAGAGTCAATCCTGCGCGATCAAGTGATATTAACGATCATACATACATCTCAAAGGAAACAAATTTTCGCCGATATTTATTACACAGAAGCAATTTTACCGAGTGCGCATTACGCGCAGCTCGCGATAGCCGTAATTTTCGGCTTCACCGTAAATAGGCTCTCGCGCCGATCTCAAGTGTTTGCGCGTGCGGCCCGTCTTTTTCATACGGCATAGCTGTATGCGCCATATGGATAGCTTCGCGGAATTTTCCTAATTGGACTCGATGTATATATGCTTCCTCGCACCTATACACAAAACACATAATTCATGTTTCAACGATCGAGATCGCTTAATTATATCTTTTGCGATCTTAATAGATCTGTATGAAGTGCTTTGTACATGAAAAAAACACTCGTGTTCACCATAATGTGTGTGTGGATCTATATGCATCGAGACTTGCTTCAATATTAATATGTAATTTATGCTATATAAATTCGGCTTGTCACGTAACAGCAGGACCAAGCCCCATGATAGACCAGAGCGAGGATGACGAGGCCGCGCGGAACAAGGACGACGGGTCCGCTGCTGCTGCTGCTGTTGCTGATGCTGATCATGCTTATACCGTTCAATCTCGTGGCCTGTACGCAGGGACTACTACGTCAGATCGTCACTCGCAACGTCACCGGCGTACTACTCCAGGATCCAACGGATCGTCAGCCCGGTAGCAGCAGCAGCATCATGGAGATCGTCGACGAGCGGACCTGCTCGGCCGCCCTGGTCCGACTCACCTGTCGCTCGCTCCACAGCGTGCTGTTCGTGCTCGAGGCTCGTTATCTGCCCGAGCAGGACGACGCCTGCGTCTACGATCGGGACTCGCGCTGCGCCTACAAGCGGCTGCTGGGCAACGTGCGCCACCTGCAGCGACGACGCTACTACCTGCAGAGCCGCTACGGCCTCGAGCTCGACGAGGACCCCCACGACTTTCGCAGCAGCATCAATCGCAGGTGTGTGTGTGTGTGTAATAGTATATATCACTACCTTAGGCCGTGAAAAACAGGAAAAGTTGCTCAGAGTACGTGCGATTGTAGTTAGTGTCCCGAAAATCGCTCTTTTAGCTCATTGCGCAGCGGCAGGAAAGTATAGTCACTTTCGGGCCATTGGTACGTATGAAAACGAAATTATACGTACGCGTATAGATGACAGAAAAAGATACTATAGCTTTGACGCTTCGACCGAGTCGTAAATATATAACTATATCGGTATTACCGCAGCTTAGAGCGTGCGTCTACGTGTGCTGCTGGTGGGAAGCCCCACTTCGCGCCAGAGAATGTGTATATTTACGGCGCGTGTGTGATCGCGACAGACGATGCGACGAAATTTTTTTTGAAACGATATACTGGCCCCTCCCCTCAGGCGCGACCGCAAGAGAGCTCGGCCCTGCTATACTTACACGGATAGGCAGCTTCTTCGCGCAACGATCGGCGGAACGAGACAAAATCGGCTAGACGCATCTTTTTGCCGCTCGAACTTTTATGAATGGACATTTTAAATCCTTCATCGTTTTAATGAATAAGTGTCTCATTTTTCACGATTAAAGGGAGCCCCCCCTCGTACTTGATTGCTTTGCGTTAAAGTATACTACATATAATATATGCACCTGTGCAGGCTAAACGTAATTCGTTTGCGCGCGAATCATATACAAGGAAAAAAAAATTATCCCGAGGGAGCAAAGCCGCGTGACGAAAGACGAAAATTAATAACATCTATCTCTGACGCGTATCTCTCTTTTACTATAATATATATAACAGAGGGTGGAGGCGAAATCGGGAACATATTATACGCTATGTAAGAAATGCGAGCGCAGATGTGTACGCGCGATCGGTTCGGCCGCACGGGGAGTTTTGGTCGCAATATCGCGTATTAGACGGCGATAAACTCGGTGCGAGAGAAAGGGTCGCGAGTGACGAAAAAAGGGGTGATTCGATTCGGCAATGAGTGCATGTTTATAACTTTACTTTTCTATCTGCATAATATATATGATATAATATCGTTCGCGATCGCCGCGCCGTATACTTTGCCTATATCGCGCGCATTCGATCGCACACATTTAAGGGTGATACATCGCACAAGGATAATGTCCAAAATGCAACGCGACGACGTCAGCTGGGTATAGCTCGCATTCCTCGTATATATATCCGATCGTCGTTTATAGCGCGCTCTGCTTGCAGGGGTGCTTTTAATCGCACGTATAATACGCGCAAAAGTGAAAAAAAAGAAAAAGCTATATGGTAATCGACGTACACAGGGACTCGGCAGCGGAGCGTGAACTTTTAACGAGGAGCGAGAATCTCTCTCTGTGCCACGATCGCGCTTTTACGTAAATGTACGCGCATTGCTGAGCTTTTGAGATGTCACGGGTGGATTATAATTACGTGAATCGTGTATAATCACTGTCGCGTCCCGAGGAGTCGCACGATTCTTTACCGTGGAATCAAATTCTTCGTCGTTTGTGGGGAGAAAATTTTTTCAATTATGGTAGACCGAGTAATGGGAGAATTTAGAGTTTTAATTTTTACTTTTAAAATTAGTTTGATAGTATTACGTACTTTGTTTTCATAGATGTTCAGGCCACCATCATTGTCGCTATAAAGTCACGTCCGATCATCCAGAGGCATTATTTTGGAAACCTGCCAATATACATGTCAAGTATGCCTGCATCCCAGGTGAGTACTTAATACTTTAAATATTATATTTTTGTGATGAAACAAATGTCCGATCGCCCTAAGAAATAAATCATAAAAACTGTCCTGAGTTCTCTTGTCTACTTAATGTGTCTCTGTGCTCATTTAAGAATAGGTATGAATTTGTATTTTAACAACATTGAAAATTTATAGATACATTCACAATTTTATATGACAAAGTTCATACTTTTAGCTTTCGAAATACTTTTTTCTTAATGAAAAACAATGTTTTTCATTCAATGCACCAGTTATTAATCAAATAATTAAATGATAAAAGTTTCTGCAATAATTAATCGTCAAATCATGCCAGCATTTAATCTAAGACACAGCTTAGAGATATTTTTAGTCTAATTTTTCACAAAGTTTACAAAGCTTTTGACAAAAATGTTTATAAAATTATCATAAAATTATCAAACAGTATTAGAATAATTTCAAACAATGATGAAGTTACAAAAAACCAAACGATTCAGTTAAACTAATAGAAACTATATTATAAATTAACAAACAAAAATTAAGATGGATTTTCTTGTGATTTTGTTATTGATTGTATAATGCTGAGCAGAATGGCAGGATCAGCTATCTGCTGCAATTTTTCAAAATCAATGAGTGATCGTATGTGAGTTGCAACAAACTTCATTACTTCATTTTCCAAATATTTAACATTGTGTTTGTGAGCAGCTATTAGAATCCGAATGACATTTTCAGTGGATAAATCAGCACATAATATTTTGGCACACTTGATTTTCAAGTGATCAATTTGATACTTATCTGCTACTGCTAAAATTTGAAGAATAATATCTGTTTCAATAGCATTAATCTTTCCAATGTAGATGAATCTACACATCTCCACCAAAATATTGTAGGAAGTGTCAGCTATCTCAATGACATTGTCTTTATTTTCTAACATATCGTGAGTGAACATGGCTCTAAATACTGGACTGGCAGCAGCGAGTATAGTTTTATGAGCTGGAATATCTTTCCCATCAGAAGTTTTCAATTTAACATCACTGAGTTCCTCGCTAAGAAGAAAGAAATCAAGCTCTAATTTACTGGTAGTTTCATGATCTTCTGCAACATAATTTGAGTTAAATGTTTTGCAACCTGCAACAATTGACAATCTACAACAGATGATCATTGAGTCGTCTTTAGTAACTAAGTTACGATAATTTTTTTTTTCATACAATTCTGGCCAACCCCAATAGCTGATTTCAGAATCAAATTTTGCGTTAAATTTCTCATCAAGAATACTTGAGCCATCAACTTTTGTCAAAATTGATAATGTAAATTTACATACCAATTCTGGGTTTTTGTCATTCCCAATAAAATGTAAATATAATGCTATAAAGTTGTTACTTTCTTCCTCTTCTCCTTCTGGGTACAACTTCAAATAAAATTGTCTGTTAGAATTATTGCAGAAACCAAATTTAGGCGACGATAAATATTTTCCTGGCTCATTTTTAACATAAGAACTATAGTTATTGATCGTCCACGTGAAAAATAAAGAGCACTTTTCGATGTTAAAGTTAGAGCAGCACACTATCTCTTTATCCATTGATATATTACACTGAATAAAATTAATACTTAATCTTTCAAGACAAATTTGAACAATTTAATTATATAAACAAGAATTAGTGGTGTAGTCGTATTAGAAACGGCAATCTATATCACAGGAGCAGAAGAGCTCTGATGAGGTAACCGCATGAAACTACCGTGTTTATGAATGACAATCAGCTCCCACTCGGTTATACTGACTTCAGGAATTTGAGGATTAAATTCGAACGATATCCCCTAGTGATAGCCTAGCAAAATGGAGGTTATAATTTTTAGAATTTAAAAAATAGCATATATGGATTAATGTATCATCAATTTGATTTCAACTAAAGTAACAAGGTCTTGAGACTTTGAATTGAGTAAGAATATATTGGAAACATCACAAGCCAATGCTAAATTATAGCATTTTTATTATTATTTTTTAATTATTATAACAATTTTCGAGTTGACTGAAGCTGGGCCTTGAAAGCAAAAATCGCCAAACCTTTGATTTTCTCTAAATAAGGTATAAGATAAATATAGCTCAATACGTAATCGAAAAACATTTTGTCAGACAGGACATACGTGGCTGAAAGAATATATCGTATAGTAAAAGTAATAATTTCTTTAAATTTTAAAAACAAAATAAATTTAATGGCAATATCAATGAAAAAATTCAATTATGGGTATTAAACAAATTTATTGTGATTTTTTCATTTGTTCTTCAGAAACAAAAAGTTACAAAAAAATCAAATTATTCAGTTAAAGTAATGGAAACTATACTCTACTGTAACAAACGAACAAAATTAAGATAGATTCTCTTGTGAATTAGTTATTGATTGTATAATGTTAAGCAAAATAGTAGGATCAGCTATCTGCTGCAGTTTTTCAAAGTCAATGAGTGATCGTATGTGAGCTGCAATAAACTTCATGACTTCTTTTTCCAAATATTTAACATTGTGTTTGTGAGCTGCTATTAGAATCTGAATGACATTTTCAGTGGATAAATCAGCACATAATATTTCTGCACACTTGATTTTTAAACTATTAATTTCATATCTGTCAGCTAATGCTAAAAGTTCAAGAATTGTTTCTGTTTCAGTAGCATTAATGTCTCCTGTATAGATGTATTGCAGCATTTCAATTAGAATATTCAAAGTAGTGAAGTTTATAGTAATGGAATTATCATTTAATTCCAACATTTCATTTGTAAACATGGCCCTAAAAACTGGGCTAACCCTTGCAAGTATAATTTTATGGGCTGGAATATCGTAATCTTCAATTTTCAAATTTATATCACTGAGTTCTTTGCTGAGAAACAATGAGTCTAATTTCATTTCATTGGTCATTTTATGTACGTCAAATTTGAAACTTGAGGTAATTGATGTATTGCGTCCTGCAGAAGTTGACAATTGACAACAGATTATCATGGTGTCATCTATAGTAGTTAATTCATGGTCTTTTTCTTTTTTGTAGAATTTTAACCAATCCCAGCTGTTAACTTCGTTATTAAATTTTGTCCTAATTTCTTTTGTAAGAATACTTGGTCCACCAATTTCAGTCAAAATTGAAAATTCACATTTACAAATAAATTCTGTTTCTGTATCATTTTTGATACAGTGCAAAGATAATGATAAGAATGGGCTGTCACTTTGTGTTTTTCCTCCTGGATATAATTCCAAATAAAATATTCTTTCAGGGTCATTACCGAGGCTAAATTGAGACGATGACAAACATTCTCCTGGCACATCTTTGTCAATTAAACTATAATCGTTAATTTTCCAAGTAAAAGTGCACTTGCTTGTATTGAATTTAGTGCAGCACACTATTTCTCTATGGACTGACATATTGTATTAAAACAATTAATATGAAATCTTTCAATTTAAACGGCGATTATTTCTAAAGAAGACTAAATATTAACGTTTTGGTAAGGGTATTGGCAATCTTATATAGGTTTTCCCAAAGTTATATATCTAAAACAACGAACGTATCCGGAAGAATTCAATCCGTTTGCGATTAGCGAATTGTAATACAATACCGCTTTGCCTGCTCAAAATCACCGATGAATCCGCACAATCAAAAAGCTCGTCTAATGTAGACAAGAAGAATTCAATCGCTTTAAGGAGGTTCGGGGGTCTCAGAGGGGGGCGAAGCGGGACGCGAGGGGCTCCTATGTTCACCGTGTTAAAAAATCAGAACTGCCAACTTCGAAATAACACAAAATTATAGGTTTTTTCAATCAACTGGCACACAATTATAGCTATTATTAATAATTATATCATTTTAATGAGTTCTTTTTGATGTCTTATAAGACAAGGGATAAAAGATCAAAAAGAGGCAAGAGAAGAAATAGTTATGACTCAGATTTAAGCCCACCTAGATTTAAATCAAATAATAAATCTAATTTGATTTCATCAAGAGCCGCTGAAAAGGAAAGGGAACCTAAAAAGGTGAAAAAAACCTTAGATGGTACATCAGCTGGCCTTCAAAATATCAAATCTTTGAAAGAAGAAGAAGAAGCCAAGAAAAGACGTGAAAATGAAATGATGGAAAAAATGTCAAGAGAAATGAGTGGCTATGGTCAATCTACTGTTGTTCGTGATAGAAAAACATGTAGAAAAAGAAATTTGGAAAGAGAAGCTGAATATCATCATGAGAAACAGCAAGAACAAGAGGAGATCAATGCCAATTATGCACAATGGGGTCGGGGGTTGAAACAATCTGTTGATCACATGAGTAAACTTCAACAAGATCTGAAAGAGATGGACAAACCTCTTGCAAGGTATGCAGATGATGAAGATTTAGAAAAAGAATTGAAAAGTCGTGACAGAGACGATGATCCTATGTTGGCCTATATAAAAGAAAAAGAAATTAAAGAAGGCAAAAGAGCACCAAGCTATTCTGGCTCATTCATGCCCAATAGGTTTGGTATAAAACCAGGTTTCCGATGGGATGGAGTGGACAGAAGTAATGGGTATGAAAACAAATGGTTTGAACAGCAAAACATGAAGAAAGCAGTTAAAGAAGAAGTTTACAAGTGGAGTATTGCAGACATGTAAATTACCACTAAATAATAAGTAGTGTAAATAATGATTTAAAATCTACAAGCAGATTTGTTCCAGACAAAGAATTTAGTGGAACAGATAAAACTGGAAGTGCAAGGTCTGGACCAGTTTAGTTTGAAAAAGAAGAAGAAGTTCCATTTGGTTTGAGTAAATTTTTAAAACAAGCCAAAGGAGCCAGTAGCAGTGGAACTTCTTCTAAAAGGAAAGATGATGATAGAGATAAACGAGATAGTAAAAAAAGAAAACATTAGCGGCGAGATTAACAACTATTTGAATAACAACTGTATCATTACAAATTTATTACATACAAAAATGTGGATTTTTCTATGCTAATTATTTTCATCGCGCCTATCATATACTTTATTTATAACTTTAAAGATTCTTTGA